CATCACGGAAAGGGCTTTGGACGACACTGATTTTCTCCTGAAAGCCACATCTAGTGATTAAGGGAAACTAATTAAAAACATTCCAAATGTTTGAGGGAATCACTCTCTGTTGCATCAGGATTGTATTCTGGTTGCGTTTCTGTTTTGTAAATAATGATAAGGATTTGAGACGTTTATACATTGCTCTCAGACAAAGGCCTCTAAATACTTAGGAATAATTGCTGTTCAATATCAGCATGTTCTCAGAGTTTTCATTCCTGATTTTTAATCATTAATGATCCGTGTTTGGTTCCTTTTAATTTTTTTTCTGCAAATCTTGCACCAAGCAAGGAATGGAACGTAACGAGCTACAAGGTCCAGCCAACTCTTTGATGTGTCTCTGCATCATTATTACATTTTTTTCCTCATCACGGTCATACTTGTTTTTCTGACTATGCTTTATTTTTCCTGGGTCACTTTATAAACTTGGGGTACACTGTTTTTAAACCATGGAAGCATATCGATGCATGGAATAACAGAATCGTATTATTCCTATGGATAGAACCTTGCAATTTACCAAATCTGAACTATAACTGGACTCAGACCTCTAGATGGTGAACTGCATTTAGCTCAGGAATTCAATTCATTGCCCCTGTTTATTCTGGTCCTGAATTAGTTACCAATTACTGTACTCCCTTTCTCAACCAGTTACGCCTTAATAGAAGCATCCAAAGTGGATTTTTGCTGATAAAGAAAGAGAGAAAAGCTTTGGTTAATAGGACTGATTCCAAAGCACAGTGACTCTGCCCGGAGAACATCTGGCAAGCTCAAGAAGAGATAAACTGGCTGAAACCCTTTGGGGATTGTGCAGCCTGCCCTTGGGTGGAGCTTCCCTTGCAATTTCAATGTTTCCCACTTGTCCCAATCTCCTCCCTCACCCCCCCCCCCAACTCCAGAGAGACAAGATTGGCCTTGGTGTCAGCCAGCTTGCTGTAAGTGATGTCTTTCCTTATCTCCCAGCTGACAAAACAGCATCCTTCATCAGCTGTATTTAAAGGCAGAGACCAGCAGAGCCTCCAGTGACAACTATAGCTCCTGCAGCTCAAAGGCAAAAGAGGTGTATCAACGCAAGTCGGGAATCCTTTGAAAAAGACTCTTGCGATGCTGCCAGCAACATTCAAGCTTTGTGCCGGAATTTCCTACAGACACTTGCCCAACATGACAGGTAAAGATGAATAACGTAACTCTTGAACAGCAAGAGAAAACTGGAGACAATATTTCAGGGTTGGTTGAGTCAGAGTAGCCGAATTCAGGAGAAATCTTTTGAATGGTTCAGAATGGCTGTTCATGTTTAGCTCTTTGAAAGACGGGTTAGGCTGAGAAGATTGACCCTGATCCTTTCTGCAACCAAAAGTAATGCTTTCTTCCTCAGCCATAATGAAGCACCTATGTTCTTTTTTTCCTCCCTTTGTAAATCAATACGGATCAAGCCAAATCTATGGGTGTTTACGAGCAGTTAACAGATAAAATCTGAAGGTGGAAGATTGATGGAAGGTTAATTTTCTTCCAGATCGGCAGGATAGATTTCCCCCCCCCCCCCCCGTTATTGCAGCCAGCAAAGATTTCCTGATGGAATTGAAATGCTAATCTGTTAAATTTTGGGATTAACTTTGTGTTACATTGTTTTATCAAGCAGCATAGGTACAATGAAGGCAGAAGCATGCATGCTATTTTCTTTTTTCAAATTAGTTTGGGAGTTTGTTAGGATCCAGTTGGAGGAGAACTGGAGTGCAAGGAGAGAGAATAAGAGAGAATGAAGGTGATAGGGAATATGCCTTGCATGAATGTTGTTGAGGGCAAATTCTTCCTGCCTATTGATAGCCTAAGATTTATGCATTGACAGTTTATTTCTCTTTCTTCTTCCTCCACCCTTACAATAACCCCTATTAGACCAGCTCTGCTTTCACTATCAGCAGATTTAGTGGTTAGCATCTTAAGGCTTTTCCAAAGTCATGTGTTGATGGGTACCAGTTCTTATATTGATTGTAGTGTCAGAGGTCTCCTTCTGAGGTTATCAGCAGCTTGGAAGGGAAAATATTGTACGACCATTGAGGACAGTGATAAACCAACTCTCTCTCCTTTGCAATTACTATTGATTTGCATTTTAGAAAAATGTCTTCCTTCTTTCCCTACAATTGGACAAATATGGCAAGTAAGAACTATCAGGAGCCAAAGAATGACTCAAAAGCAGGAGTGATAAATACTGTACTTAAGGCAATTATATTAGTTGAATTGTGTTAGTTGATATATTCATCCAGAATGTTTATATTCTACTTTTCATTCATCCTGGATCTCAAGACAGCAAAAATGGGGTTTGCAAGCAGACTCCCATCTGGGCACTGACCAGACTCAGATTTGGTAAATGTAAGCAAAGAGATTGTTTTATCTGAATCATGTTCTGCCATACCTTTTTCAGTAACTCAAGTATATATATATACTGTATATATAATCAAAATCAGGGGTGAGGGATGGTCTGTTAGGGCCTAATTTTGGAATTTAGCTTGTTTAGTTGTGTATTGAACAACAATCCCACCAGGCTAAAGATTAATTTAATAATCAATTTAAGACAATTGTGCAAACACAGAAGACAGAAAAACTGTATGGACGTCTCCTTACACTGAATTATTTAAAAATTAAATAGGGAGTATAATATCAAATTGTTGATGAACTTTTATCCAAATAAATGTGGGAACGATTAAAGTGCAGATGTTCTTTGAAGCAGGAAGAAACTGATGGTAGGCTGGGGATGTAGGTATTGTAGTCTCAACATATTTACAGGACACCAAGACATTGTTCTTTTGTGTATTTTTTTTGTGTGTGTGGGTATTTAAGTTTATTTATATGCCGCCCTTTTCCCTGGGGGGACTCAGGGCGGCTTACAACTTAAAAAAGGGGGGGAAACAAACTTTTAACATATAGAACAAACATCATTAAAACACAACATTCATACCATTCGGGCGGGTTGCAATCTTTAGCCCCAGGCCTGACAGGAAAGCCAGTTTTTAAGGGCTCCTCATGTCTCTGTAATTTTCTAAATCTCATCCAGAAGTACCACAGAATCTGGCATTTTCAGCAGAA